TGGTATTCTATTGCATCATGTTTTATCTCGATTTTCATTTACATATTTTTACTTTTATAGCTTTAACCTAGGGACTGTGCAATAATTGCCAGGAGGGGGGTCCGTGAAACCAGATTTCTCAAGCAGAAAATTAGTCAGAACCCCCTTCCTTAACCATTAACCTTGGTTATAAGCAAAAGTCGAGTCAAATGTAACAACGGAAAATTCACTAAATACGAACTTGGAGGATGCTTATTGGGCAACTTACTCATCTTGACCTAAGTGTCAAGACAAAAACTTTCAGGAGGAGCCGGCAGGGTCTGTTATGCTAAATAACTGTTCTTGTATGAATTTTTTCCCGGGAAAGGAGTCTACCGCGAACGGCGTGTGCGTTTGTAAGATGATTGAGGGGCCGTTGAGCGTCTCAGCATGTACTTTTTTGACATCTTAATTGCAAAAACTCTCCAAGGAAGAAGGAAGAAACGTCGAGCAAACGTACTGTAGCACAAGTACAGCACCATGAGACAAGTAAAGCAAAGCATTATGGATAATATGATTTACCATGTGAGCTTGGTATTCCTGTGCTATCCAACCAGGAAATTATGGGTAATTTTAGTTGCCAGGTTACTTTGCAACCTCGTCCCCAGGGCCATCTCGGCCGACTCCTTTTCAAGATGGCGGTCGTCGGGGAGATGACCCTGGCGTTGGCTGAACTAAGCCACTTTCTGATTGGCTATTCAAAATGCCTTTCTTATATCACTCATTATTGGCTGTTTATGTTCGTCTATAGGTCGGGATGTGTTCGACACTGTCGGTATGTCCGGATAACCGTTAGGTCTTTGATCGGTTATTGATTTAACCGTTACGATGCGTTCATTGTTTTTATTCAAATATTCCCGAAATTTAATTAAGGTACGTTTTGTCGATTAAAAAGCAACGATATTCTTTGGAATTCTTGTCAGTTGTCCTCTTATGTCTCTCTTGTCCAATGTGTGGTTTTGAGATGCCAACTACTCGTGTAAGAAATTTAACTTGACGGATATATTTAGCGATAGCATTCGATGTTATAGAAGTCTTCTACTCGCCGATTTCTGCAGTGAGCGGATCCCTCAAGAATTCTAGAATGAACTAGATCTACTCCCGTAGGCGGTCTAGGGGTCAACACTGCCGATGACGGCAGGACGGAAGGACATTTTTCAAATAAATCATCAAAACAAAGCAAATACCGACCCACCACAGCTATCCCAGTTTGTGAAACCGTTGAGTTCACGTTTCGAGCGCCATTTTGAATAGATAATCCACGTGATCAAAACCTCCAAAAATCTTGGAGGTTTTGATCACGTGATTCCAGCCAACGCCAGGGTCATCTCCCCGACGACCGCCATCTTGAAAAGGAGTCGGCCGAGATGGCCCTGGGGACGAGGTTGGTTACTTTGTAGGTACGCACGTGATTGGCTGATTATTATGGTATATTTGACAGGGCTACCTTTGCCCTGGTAACTGCAAAAATGTGTGATTGGATGGGAGATTTAGTACTGTGAGCATGCGCTTGTTTTATTCAGTTACATAAAGCACACGCCCTCCCACATGGTTCTTAATAAGTTAATTTATAAGTATATAAGTCACGCAAAATATAAAAAGACGACGATATACCGTAGACTCGGAGGTAGACTTATGTGACATATGTTAACTTAATAATATCACGACTTTATGTGTGACGCAATAACACAGGGATTCCAGTTGGTGTGGTTTGATTTCCGGTTAGAAAGAATATCACATGATTGGAAAGTTGTGGATTGAACTTCCGGTATCTAAACGCGACATGACACATAGATTGGCAGAAAGGTAAAACTAAAGTATGGTTAGCCCGACTGAAAAAGGCTAATATAACGTTTTTATGGTCAATTTCAATACCACATCACCTAGTTTGAATTTAGATTTCCATTTAGTATGTTTCTATCTTGGCATCAATTTTATGTAATGCCCCCCTCCTCTGGTTTTACAGCCCTCCCCGCCCCTTCCCCCTCCTGGTAATTACTGCACAGTCCCCTATCTCTACCTATGTACTTGATTTTTGAATTCAAAAATGAAAGTTTTGAAAGATGATCAATTGCGAAAGTAT